GCGCGGGAACCCGCCCGGTGCCCCTGGTCTGCTGGAGACGGTCTCCAGCAGACCAGGGGCACCGGAGCAGCTTACGAACGGGGCTTTCTCGCCCCGACTTCCGGGGCGAGAAAGCCCCGTTCGTAAGTGCGGATCCGACATAAGTCGGATCCGCGTAAGTCGGGGACTGCCTGTACATATATAAAAACACAAATCATTCAAATACCACTTCCAAAAGACAGTATTTCTGAAAATTATACCATTGAAAGAAAGTGCCAATTTGCTTTTCTGCAGTGACTTCACTCAAGTAATGATTTATTTTCCTGGGACAACACTTTTGGAAATGTCCAAAAATACTTTTTAATAGTTTTCGTCTGAAATCTAAATGATACTTCTAGCTTTAAATATATCAAAGGTGTTGTTTTTAATGTCACTGACAAGGAGTCTGCTCCACATTGGCCTTTTAAGGGTAAAAGCCAGCCCTGGGAGAGGGTTGAGATCAAAGCTCCACAGCTGAGGCAGGCATTAGCCAATTAGGGCCCCGCTGAGGGGAGTATAAATAAAAGCTCTGGGAGGGGAGGAAAGACAGACTGACTCTTGCTTTGGTTGGGGAGCAGGAGGAATCTAGCTGCCAGAGAAGCTGGATACTTTTTGATACAGGATAGTGCTGGGAAGAGGCAGGGAGAGTTTGGGAGCTCTTGACTGACCTCAATCTCAGGCTGCAGGGACTGAGAATACTAGGGTTGTAGTTAGAGCAGGGCTGGGAAAGGCAGGCAGAGCTGGGGAAGTTCTGGCCAGGCAAGCTCCCCAGGCCTACAGCAAGGCCAGAGTTTACTAAGGCTGTAGGGAGGCAGCAAGAGGAGGCAAAGGCACCAGGGTCCACACTCCCTTGCCAATGATGAGTGGCCATCTTGGACTATATTTTGCCCCTGAGGTAAGGGGCTAAATGATGACTAGCAGTGGGTCATTGAGGCAAGATAGGCATAGGGGGGTTGGGGTTCCCAGAGGGGGAGGGCCTCAGAGTGATGGGACACTGAGTTAGGGCAGTACTCAGAGTTGGAGAAAATAGGTAACTGTGGGAGAGACACTGACCAGAAGGGGATGCTCCAGCACAAAAAAAACCCTAATTCCCAGCGTGTCCAGCAGGAGGTAATTCTGGCACTGAGGCGCATCTGGTTACAGTCACTTAAAAGAAAATGTGTAGCTGCATGGAAGCAATCAAAGAAAAAAGAAGCACACACTTCCTATTTTCTTTGTTAGGGCTGGCTCTTCAATTCCTACCACTCCAATTTATCTCTTGTTCTAGGCCTCTATTTTGAAAGCTGATCCATACAGACAGACCTCCATATTTGTACAGATACCCGTCTTTGGAATTTTATACAGATAAAGGGTCCGGCCGAGCCATAATGTCTTTAGTAGGGCTCCACGTGAGTGCAAAAATCTCCCAGTACAGAGCAGTTTGTAAGGTCAGGGTCCTAGAATCTCCGTTTCTCTATGGAGTGAGCCCAGGCCAGCCAACGGGGAAGGAGAGGGGAGAAAGTGGAGACTCTAGGTGGCTCTGAGGACTAGCTGCTGCTGCCCCGGTCCCACCCCTTCGGCACGAGACCCCACCCTTCTGTCCAAGACCCCTCCTTTAGGAGCATTGAGTCAGCCCTCCTCATCTTGTCGAGGGGCTTGGTGAAGCTTTTCCTATTAAAACCTACCTACCATGTTTTACCTGCATATATAGATAACATGTTACTCATAGAAATGATACACAGACCAAATGCTCCATCTTAGTTGTATATAATGCTTGAAGCAACTTAAGATTTTTGGCCTGCATAATAAAACTGATAGTCAAACTCTTTTGCAATGATTCTACCACCTGCATAGCAACATCAGACAATTGAGAAGCAACCCTGGCAGAGACTCAAGACTGCTCACTCAGGTCTGAAAAGATCACGAGAAAGAAAGCATAATTGAGAAAGGGATAAGGAAGGAGTGAAAACAACTATTCAAATACCTGTCCGGTACAGTTCTGTTGCACCCCTAAAGAACCGGGGCAAAGCTGCCTCCAATAACATAATAAAGTCTTCAAGCTCTTCGGTGACTCCCACTAGGAAGTATTCATTAATCAGGTTGTACTTGGCTTGTTCCAAAGCCCATCTGCTCCCCACATTCCTAAAATGATAAGAAGCAATTAGAGCAAAGTTCTGAAGTCAGCCAAGAATTCTTGATTCCTATATGTAGTTTTCTTCACATCTTTGCACAGGCAAAAGACTCATTTTAAAATCACACCTACCTCTAATTTCCTCTACCTAACATCCTCTCCCCAATATCTCTCACCTGAGGTTATGTCAACACAAAATCCAGATGTCACAGATTAAGTCTTTACATGGCTGTTCATAACAGCGTCTTGCTAATACCAACACCTTACCCACTCGGGTTTAGCATTCATACAGTTATTCTTTTAATTAATTTGGTTTCTAAAATTTTACTTTTTTCTGTGCTCAAGTAATCAGAACTACTATTTTTTTACCTATTCAAAAAATGAGGTTAGGCAGAACATGGCCTCCCCTCTTTATCCCACCTGCATAATTTCTCTGCTTTATCAAGTCATATTTATTACCACAGTTAAAAATAAAGCTGGCCTCACAAAGGAAAAAGACTAGAGCTGCGATCTCTCCCCTCTCTCCTGGTTACTACTGCCAGAGAGGAAAGGGGGTACAGACAGGCTCAAAGTTTCTTCTCTCTCTGGTCCCAATGCAAGACTGGGGTATATGAGGCTTGCCCACATTATAGAGTAGGGGTCAGCAACCTTTTCAAAGTGGCGTGCCAAGATTGAACCTTCCTGCCCTGGGCTGTACTGGGGGGAAGAGGGTGGAGCTCTCTCCACCGCCCATCCCATAGACCAACTGTGGCAATGCAAAATTTACCATGGACTACCAGTTGCTAATGGAAACTCACTGTTAATTACATAATTATGCCCACGCCATTTTGCTAGTGCTGAAGCTTTGAATGAATGAAACCAAATAGCTAATTGGGGAGGGAGGCAAAGAAGTGAGGAGTAAAGGAAAGTGCAGCGTCTGCAAAGTAAAAGTGTACCCCCCCTCACATCTTTCCTCTGTTCCACCCTTGTTCCCCTCAGCCCCAGCCTGTTCCCCTGCATCGCCCCATGCCCCTCAGTGCAACCCCTACCCCCTCCCATCCTGCCCCTGAAGCCTAATCCTCTGCATCGCCCCATGCCTCTCAGTGTACCCCTGCCCCTTCCCATCCTGCCCCCACATTCCTATGTCCCCAGCGCACTCACCGGCAGGGCAGCAGTGCTGGGGCGAGGAGAGATGGGGGGAGGGGCCAGGAGGGAGGCAAAGTCTCTTCCCTCCCCAGCCCAGCCCAGCCGCTCTGGGGTTGCCCACTGCTGGCTCTACCCCGACCCTGCACATGGCTCACATGTGCGCCAGCTGCCCAACCCCAGCTCTGCCCCTTCCCGAAGCAGGAAGCCTGTAGCTGGGAGGGCGCATTAACCCCTTAGCTTCTAGAAGCTGCATGCCCAGGCTGAGTAGGGGCAGCCCCAGAGACACGTGCGTGGGCCTCCTCCAACCCTACCCCTTCTATCAGGAAGCCAAAGCTGCGCAGGGGGTAGAGATGGAGCTGAGCTCCCATCCCCAGTGCCACAGGAAATTGGCTCAAGTGCCGCTTGAGGCCGACCCCCTTTATATAATGTTTGCACTGGAGTACAAGTCTCTGAGTGGCTATATGCTATGCTTATGATTAAATCCAGCAAATTTAGGGATAACAGACTTGATAATGCCCAGTGTCTTTACTTCAGTGTATTTGTTTCTACTGATAGCAGCAATTTCGCTATCACACAGAATTAAAAAGACTTGAATGGAGTTGTACACAAGTATGTAATTTTCAAACCAATTCCCTGGAGATTTCTTTATAAAACAAAAAAGCTTGATTCACATGTACAGTTAAGCCATCTCAAAACAACTAAGATACATTTATTATTGACAATTTGGTATACAGCTTAGCAAAACAGCACCTCGAACTAATCTGCCTATATCATTCTCCCTCTGTGTAAAAGTTAAATAGCTTGAACAGGAAAACACTTTAGTTGAGGCAAATATACACTTTTAACTTGATTCAACAAGGAATTGTTGCTATTGAATCTGTAATACCAGGGTCTCTAATGGAAACTATAGTTATTCATATGGCACACTTTTAACATTTGTTTTGTAATAAGCTTACTCCTTGGAAAGTAGTTGCATGAATCCTTTAAAGTCAAATGCCTTTGGAAGGTAAACTGACAAAATGCACTACAGTGAATTACATGCTGGTATACTCCAGATGCTCTTATTGTCGATTAACATCTAACCTTCCACCACATATTCACTTATTAAATACAGATTATAGTGATAATATACTTGATTAGCAGTTCAAGCCAATTTTATCTCCCTACCAGCATTCTGAGCTGTGGCCACAGAAGAATGGTATTTGAAGCCAAAGTTTCTCCGGAGCACAGTCTGAGCCTCCAGCTGCTACACATTCATCAAAGGTCTGGAACAAAGACAAAGTTGTACAGTGAGCTATAAATCCAAACCTTACATATCAAACATATTACCATGGTTAGTTGTTAAATATGCTGGAGACAGTGGAACACAAGATGTGAGGGGAAAGATTTTTTTCACCAACTTTGTTTTCAAAATAACTTATAAAGACAAACTATTGGTCTTAACATTATGTGACTGAAACTGACTTCTTTAAGTCCTGCTTAAGTCTGTCCTCTGCAGAAATGTGAATTCTGTCAGAACCAGCAAAATTACACATTGTGTTTCCTTATTAAGTAAACAATGATGGTCCCAAATGCTGCCATAACATTACTGCAAAAAGTCATTTTTTTGTTTGTTTTTCTAAATGACAGGATCAATATTCTACTAATATTTTACCACACTAACAAATTATTGGTATCTCTTCAAATCTGAGTTTGTAACTTAAAATACTATGGCTTCAAGATAGACATGAAAGTTACTAAATCCAACTTCACTCTGAAGAAAAAACTATAAACATGACATTCTACTTACACGGATACCTTCAGTGAAGCATAGTGGTTTAAGATTATATTGTCCATTACAATAAAAAGTTCTATTAACATTGGATGGGAAGAAATATAAAAAACATACAGCAGTCAGAATCGCAAGTATTTACGAATTCTTCAAGCCAGGTATAGGATACATGTTTAGAATATAGGACTCTTTATTCTGTGGAAATATATTATTCTTATGAAGCAAGCTTTTTACAATATTTCTTGTGTTTTGTGCATTAAAAAAAACATTACTTTTTGAAAAGATTTCTTTAAAAATGAGACTTGCACTTTTTAACTGGCTATAGACACAGTAATACTGAGGACTCTACCACTCATGTAATTGTTATCAGGAATCCAACCCAAGATGCAGACACTTAGAAGAGGATTGTCTGAAATTGCTGCAGTTGGGAAAAACTGTGCATTTCCAAATCACACTTCATGCATAAAATACATTTACTCATTTTCACTAGTGAAGAGCTTTAAAGTGTTCAGAATTCAGCACAGATAACAACAAGGCATCTCACTGAAAGGATGCTTTTCTGAAAGATAAACATGTTTAACCAGAGTTACAAAACAACTTAAGAATCTCCCCAGCTCAGAATGAGGTGGCTAGTATCTTAAAAGTTGCCACAGAGAATGATTTATGCTTGGTTGAAATGACGAAGGAAAAATTTGATTTTCTTTTCCCCTCTTTCATGAACGCTATCTGTCCATTGTAAGTATTTATACAGCATCAATCAACGTATCTAAAGCATTGACCTATACTGGGCACATTATTTGACCTGTGTAGGCTTATGTCAAATATGAGTTGAAATTTATCAGCTGATAAGATTTCACCTGCAACACAGGTCATTTTGTAGTGAAAACTCAAGACAGCTAAATAACTTCCTCAATAAAACAAAATGAAGACATTTCCCTCCCATTCTCTCTCCACCTACATCTCGACAGCTATAGCAACAGCAATTCTACCATAGAAACTTTTGTACCTAAGAGATTCTGTTCTCATAGTTGAGATACTAATTATTCTGGGATGCTCAACAGAAAGATTATAGTTCCTTCCAGTCCATATAGCAAAACAAGAATGTCACTCATACTGTACAACATAAATAAGTCAAACTGAACCTCTGTTATGAATCCCTTAAATCATGATGGTATATCAGTAAGATGACTGCTATGGAAAATGCATTTCTATTTTGTAAAATGACAAACTCCATCTGCACACACATAAGGGGGGTGGTGGTGGTGATGGTTGTAAGGTTCATAGAGACTAATATAATTTATGGTTATTTGTGTTCCTCGATTTTAGCTTGGAATTAGATTAAATTTATTTACAAAATCAATGCCTTTATTAAATACTCATCATTGTTCCTTAATACAATTCTGTACATTATTTAATAAACAAAGCATATAATGGTCAGCTTACAAACATATTAAGTATAGATGTGGACCTACATTTGAGGCTGATTAACATGTATGTTATTATAGATGTCTTTAGGGTTTGCACTCTTGGAATTTACCCATAAGAGTAGTATTTATTTTGCATTAGAGTTAAGGCTGCATTGTAATGAATATGCAGTTGCAGCTTGGTAACAATTTTTATTACTAGAGAGCCTGCGCTGTCTCATAGGGGTAATTTGTAAAAGAAAGAGGTAATTTGTAAAAGAAAGAAAGACAGAAAGAAAGACAGAAAGACAGAACCCCAAAACGTCTGAGAACTTAAATTGGGTGATAAAAGACTGAAATCCAGTGATGACTAAACTTGGTGATATTCTTAACAAAAAGGACTCTTAGCCATGCTTGTAGATTTCCATTGTTTTTTTACTCTGAAACTTAAAATGTCTGAGTAACAATCCTAAAATATTACCATACACACTCACTCATGAACCAATTTATTTGTCATTCCTGATCGGGAGTTGGCAAGCTTTGGTTTCCAGCCCACCAGGTTAGCCACTTGCACAATGTAACATTTTGTATACTTGCAGCATTCACAGGCATGGAGCCCCTGAGCTCCCAGTGGCTGTCTTCCTGGGAAACAGGAATGGCAGGAAGTGGCAGTCAGCATGTCCTTTGGCCCATGCCACTTCCCATCGGATGGGAATGGCAAACCACAGCCACTGGGAGCTGAGCAGCACTGTGCCTGTGGATGCTCCAAGTACACAAGACGTCCAGGGGCATCAGTGGCTTACCTTGAGGAGCCGGGAGCCTAAGTTTGCTGACCCTTCTGTATTTTAAAAGTTGGAACAAGTAACATGCAAAAGTTTTAGATTTATTTTAACATAATTAACCCTTCAAAGTCCTAATCAGACTCCAATTCACCAAGCTGTTCATTAAACTCAGCTTCAGTTATAGCTGCTCCTGCATTGTCATCGTAGAGGTCAGCCGTGTTGTCTTCAGGCTCCGATTCCTTACAATCGGCCTCCATTACCTCATCAGTAAATATGGTGTTCTCTTCTGACCCAGAAAGTACATTGCTGATTCAGCATTTTAGAAAAAAAAATCTATAATTTCTGAGGGAACTGACTCCCTCATATTCTTGAAGCATTGGGTGACCATGTTTATTGTGGGTTTCATATGAGTCCCACCTTTTGTCAACTTCGCCATTTCTGAGCATATCCAGTCAGACCACATTTTGCATAGCCTGTCTTTAAAGGGTTTGTTCAGGCAGACATCAAACACTTGTAGAACAGAAGTTAAGCCTCCAGGTATAACAGACAAAGTAGTTTTCATTTTTTGGGCCATGTGTCACTTCATCTGTCTAATGTGCCCTGAACATGTCCCAAACGAGTATAGCAGGTTTCTTGAGGAGTGATCCTATTCTCTTATTTCACATCTTTTCCGACCATTCAATAGTCTCACCTTCATCCATCCACCTCTTTTCATATGTGCGCTTGACGACACCTGCAGGAAGTTTCATGTTTTTAGGTTAGGTTTTTCTTTTTACAACAACAGGAAGGAGGGAGCTTGATCACTGGCCAAACATAGTAAAAACCACTGTAAAATGGATATTTTCAAGGCCAGCAGTTTTAATTAAAACTGTTTTTTCACCAACACCAGTTACCTCTCTGTTGCTTGGGAGATCAAATGTCATTTGTGTTTCATCCATATTCCCTATTTTGATAGCTCAAATGTATATTCCTTTTGATGTTTTATAATAAACCTTTGGAAAAGTTCAATTTATTCTTCTAGCTCTCTCTGCAGATTTTGTGCTATCTTTGTTGATGAAGACAGAGACCATGAAAGCTCATGAAAGTACATCAACTTGCTGATGTGACAAACACCAATGACTTTACCAACTTGTATTTGTCATCTCTCAACATTTGCAAACCACGGAGGCAAATTCCACTTCTAGTGACGAAGTATCCATTTTGTCGACATCCAACAACCCAATCAATGAGATCTTTCTCCGGCACACGAAATGAAGCGAACCTCATTGAACATTTTTTTCTTGCTTCTTGGAATATGTTGAGGCGTTTTTTGTTTTTTTTTGGCCATTTTCTTACCTGCTTCCCATTGATACAGAATTCATGAGCGGCAGCACAATTATTGTTTGCCTCTGCATATTCAACAGCTTTAAGTCTGAATGCTACCTCATAAGCAGGCCATTTCCTTTTGGATTTCACTGTTGTTCATTTTAAATACTAGTATGAAAATCTTAGAAAAAAATTAGTTATAGGAACGTTACTTACTTTATTACTGTATAATAGTTCTTTGTTTATTTCAAAACAGACCTATAGATTGGCATGTCTGTGGTGACAGCAGGATATCATAGAATCATAGAATCCTAGGACTGGAAGGGACCTCGAGAGGTCATCGAGTCCAGCCCCCTGCCCTCAAGGCAGGATCAAGCTCCGTCTACACCATCCCTGACAGATGTCTATCTAACCTGTTCTTAAATATCTCCAGAGAGGGAGATTCCACCCCCTCCCTTGGCAATTTATTCCAATATTTGACCACCCTGACAGTTAGGAATTTTTTCCTAATGTCCAATCTAAACCTCCCCTGCTGCACTTTAAGCCCATTACTCCTTGTCCTGTCCTCAGAAACCAAGAGGAACAAATTTTCTCCTTCCTCCTTGTGACACCCTTTTAGATATTTGAAAGCCGCTATCATGTCCCCCCTTAATCTTCTTTTTTCCAAACTAAACAAGCCCAGTTCATGAAGCCTGGCTTCATAGGTCATGTTCTCTAAACCTTTAATCATTCTTGTCGCTCTTCTCTGTACCCTTTCCAATTTTTCCACATCTTTCTTGAAATGTGGCGCCCAGAACTGGACACAGTACTCCAGCTGAGGCCTAACTAGTGCAGAGTAGAGTGGCAGAATGACTTCACGAGTTTTGCTTACAACACACCTGTTAATACAACCTAGAATCATATTTGCTTTTTTTGCAACAGCATCACACTGTTGACTCATATTCAACTTGTGGTCCACTATGACCCCTAGATCCCTTTCCGCCATGCTCCTTCCTAGACAGTCG